TTTTTAACCCCCCCCCCCCCCCTCTCTCTCTCTAAACGATCGTAAAAAGCAAAGGGAAGAAATGAAAGTAAAAAAAAAAATACGACGAACGAAAACATTTCGACTTTAATCGCACAAGAACTCGATGAATCCAAATATAGCACGATCTTTGCCGATGTAAAAATGTCACGAGCTTTCCAACTCTCCGCTTTATTCTTATCTCTCTTCTTCTTCTATTTTCTCTCTCTCTCTCTCTCTCTCTCTCTTCATTCTCTTTGTCGTTGGTTTCTTATTCACACGATACCTCGTCGAATCGGTTCGATCGAACAAACCGGTTTACGCAGGACGCTTAAAGATGGCAGGACGATCTTCGCTCCTCGACATCGCCACAGGCGTCACGCCATCGAGATCGATCGTAGGTTATAAGAAACGATAAGTCGATGTGGATTTCGTGTATTTACGTGGCTAAAGTTGAGTGGGCAGTCTTAACGATATCGCATCGTAACATCGTCCGACGTAGCATTTTTCCGGTTGTCTATTCTCCGCGTAGAAACGTCATATTCGTTTTTCGTCGAACGTCGTTGCTGTCCCCCGCGAAATAAAATTCTCGCGATCGTCGAACGCAAAGTGCAGCACGGCTTGCGTTCGTGGCATCTTACGCAGAGCGACTGCAGTTGCCCGTAGTAGCGAAAAGGTTAAAACAACGAAACGTCCTGGCGCTGCCACGTCGACGAATGATAAATACGACGAAGAAGATCGGATCGATCGTCTTACGGCTTTTCTGGTCAAACTTGTCAAACTGCTTTCTCTCTTATGTCGTTGCTTCGTATTCGTTCAAAGGATGGAACGTGATGTATCAGCACGTTGAAACGAGCGTCACGTCGATTTCTACGTGAAACGGTATGAAATTTCGAAGTGTGCAAGTGCGATTAAACGTAGCCGTTTTCCTAACGCTTATACGAAAGGTTATGCATTCGAGTACGAAGATAATTTAAACAAGTCGTTTGTCTTGGTAGGGACAAGAGAAGCGAGAAAGTCGCGCGCCTTTGACGTACGATCGAACGCGATACGATTATCGAGTTAGTTAAACGATGTCGGTCGTAATTCATCGACGATAACGTATCAGCGTGTTCGTGGTATACGGAACAGAGTACCGTGGTGAAGCTAATTTTTTGCTGCTTTCTTCTCTTGAAAAATGAACAATCGCAACTGACTTTGCTATTCGTTGGCGTGGCACAACGAACGCCACGCCATTAATCAAGAACACGCGTTCCACCCATCGAGAAAACACGAACATATTGTTATCACTGCCCTCCAAACTCTCTATCTGCATATCCTTCGGTGTACTGACGATTAACGTTTATACTAAACTAATTAACTTCTAATAAAGATATCTTATCGAGCAAAATGTTACTCTAAACTCTAACTTAACGCGTTAAAAGCCTCGAACTTAAGTGTGTCGCGGATAACGTCATACCTAAACTTAACTATTAAAATACGTAGTGCGGCAACAAGCAAAGTGTTAGCGAGAAAGAGGAACGCGTGATAAATGATAAATGGTGAGAGGAAAGCGAGAGCGAGAGAAACAAAACCGAACGAATGTAGTATATGTGTCTGTGTCTGTAACGGAACGCGCGCGCGTGTTATGTGTGCGTGTGTGCGTGCGTGTGTGCGTGCGTACACGTGATGAGTCGTAGGAAGGAAACATGGCGCGTGCCGCAGGCGAAAAGTTTATTAGCGTGAGACACTTGATATGGCGAACCGAAAGTCGTTGGATAGTACGCAGACAAAAAGAGAAAAGAATTAAAAAAGAAAAAAAATGAATAATAAGCTGACACACAAGTGTATTTAGAATCGCTATAGCTAGATGGAATTATATTTTACAATTGTACAGTTATTATACGTTCGGGCGTGCTAAACCGATTCAATCTATAGATAGTCGAAAAGTAACTGTGTTGTGTGTGTGCGTGTGTGTCGCGTGTCTCTCTCTCTCTCTCTCTCTCTCTCTCTTTCTCTCTGTTCGTGGACAGCGAAGAGCGGAGAAAAACGCAAACTCCGTGTGAAATGGGGAAGAAGAAGCGGATGACAGAACGGGAAAACAGACGATATTGTGCGGTGAATGTTACGCAATGCCGAAAGATCAACAGCGACCTCGCTGAATATTTTTGTTCTTTAAGAAGCTGAAGCTCCCGATTCTTACACGTATACATGTATACTGTTATACGTATGTGTGTATGTATAATAGGATTCGAGCGCGTATAATGCTTACATCGGAAATCGATCCTCCTCGGACAGGAAAGGGTATATACACATACGCATTGGTGCGTGGCGCGCGTGGATGCACGTGTAATCACACGCATGTGTTCTCCTGCGACGAAAGAGAAAAAGCGATCGAGCCAATTGGCTGGCTCGGCACGCACGGGCCAGCCC